CAGGAGGGTGGGAACAGCCCATATTAGGGTTTCCTCAGGAAAAGTAGGGCCGGGTGGACAGTGTAGGATTGGCTAGTCTGGATAATTTTGGCAGGCCTTGCACTGTTGGGTGGTCTCTCGCGGCCTGGTCCCTGGCCCTGGGATGACTAAGGCAGAGCAACATTGACCCTCAGGGTGCACAGAGCAGACGGGTGAGGGGTGGCTCTGCACTGGGTGGTTTGCGTGTCAAAGGCATCCCCCTGGCTGGGCTCAGGGCTATGTCAAGGCACACAGAATGGTGTCCCCAGGAGGGCTAATCTCTCCCCATCTACGAATATGTTTTAAGATATCAAAATATCAGAAGACATAGAAAATTCTACATAGTTGATATGTGAACAACACTGGTTTGAGTGCCTGGGTCCGTGGATATTCACCTACCTGTGTCACTCCTGAGACAGCAAGACCAACCCCTCCCCTACCTCTCCATCCTCAGCCTTCCCACACTGTAGAGGAAGAGGATGAAGAACTTTATAATGCTCTTCCACTCAATACATAGTAAATCTATTTTCTCTTCCTTTTGATTTTAATAATGTTTTATTTTCCCTATCTTAGTTTATTGTAAGAATACAGTGCATAGTACATACACCATTCAAAATATATGTTAGTGAACTGTTTCTGTTATCGGTGGGGCTTCCGGTCAACTGCAGACTCTCTGTAGTCACATTTGTGGTGATTCGAAAGTTATAAGTGGAATTTCAGCTTTGTGGGGCATTGGCACCCCAACCCCTGCATTGTTCAAGGGTCAACTGTATATATACTTTGTACACCACACACACACACACACACACACACACACACACACACACACACACACATACATATATGAGAGCTGTCCAGAAAGTTCCCAGCCATTGACGATACAATGAGAACATACTGCATGGCTGGGTATTTTCAGACAGCCCTTCTACACACACAGATATATACATAGACCACATTTGATTCTCTGATGTTTTGACAACATGTTAAGGAAAGCTTTCTGTAAGTAGGTGTTGCTAGTGGAGATTTTCAGAGATATAAACGTCACTGGTACCAATATGGAGGAACTTATGTCAAACTAGCAAAATGGAGCCAGGGGAGCCCATAAAACCAAAGCCTCATGCACACGTGCCTGTTTCTGAACTTAGTACAAAACATTTCTACAAGTAGACCAATAACAAGTCTTGTCCCAAAACTTGCTCAAGACTTCAGTTTTTCAAATAAGCCCCTTGCAAAAGGACCCTTACTTAGCAATGGCCGTCTGTACCAATGAACCAGTGACGAGTCTGGCAATGAACCTCCGTGGTCTGCGAACTTTGTTTTAAAGCAGCTAATGTGAACCTCTCCTCTTCATCTTACAGGTTTCTCCTTCGCCCCGACCTGTCTCGATGTGCCTATGATATGTCCTCACACACATCTCCCAGCCTGTCCTCCTCCGCTGTTCCCGATGAACTCTGTCGTTCTGGACTGCCTGTCTCTCTGAGTATCCTTCAGGTCAACAGAGAGTACAGAACTTCACAGAAGACGTTTTATTTAAGGAGGGGCACAAATTATGGGGCGAGCCCCTGCCCAAGGATCCCGTTATATGGCATTAGGCATGAAAAAAAGATCTGAAATGTTTGAGTCTCAACCATATCCTGGTCATGTTGTAAAGTGTGTTAAAAATATGTTCATATAAATAAAATACACTCATGTAAAATAATAAATTAATAAAGTACATGTAATTATTAGAGGTATCTGCATTAATTAAAGGGAGAAAGC